AGGGTGCGGGTTCGAAACCTACCAACGGCCAGTACCAATGTGACTTTTTCCGAGTTATATGTACTTTCTAAGATTATTTAGACACCACTGACAAACGGTGAAGGAAAAACATCGTGAGGAAACCTGGGGTTATAATTTCTAATTATAAGTTTGAAATCGCCAACCCGCATTGAGCAAGCGTGGTGATTAATGCTCTAACCTTCTCCGTGTGAGAAGAGGCTTTGCTCAGCAGTGGGCATTTATAGGCTGTTGATGATGACATTTATAAAAAAAGATTGATTTATGCTTCTGCCAACGGCGTCGCCTGTGTTCACGTAGGACAATAAGTAGCCTACGTGTTATAACAGACCATAATCTATATCTGTCCCAAATTTCATATCGATCCCTTCAGCCGTGACGTGGTTGAGAAACAAACATACACACAACTGCACTAACTTTCTCATCTATATATATAAAAGAAACTTACACTATTTAAAACTCAAGAACCTCTAAATCGATTTGGTTGAAAATTGGGGTGGAGGTAGCTTAGAACCAGGAAACAGACATAGGATACTTTTTATCCAATACTTTCTTTTTAATTTTTTACCGAAAATCACGAACGGGAATGGGAACACATAGAATTGCGCGTACGAAGTCGCGGGCAGAAGCTAGTTTATAATATTAGTTAACTAGCGACCCGCCTCGGCTTCGCACGGGTTAAATATACATGTATTATACATAATTTATAAACCTTCCTTAAGAATCAATCTATCTATTTAAAAAAACCGCATCAAAATCCGTTGCGTAGTTTTAAGATCTAAGCATACATAGGGACGGAGACGGCGGATAGCGACTGTGTTTTATACTATGTAGTGATAAGAAGTAAGAGGTAAGATATAACCTACCTTTCAGTTTTTTGTAGCGATGTTTCACCATTTTATAAAAACTTGTAATTATTGAATACACTACTTCACTGTGATATGCAACTTTGAGAAAGCGTGGAAAATAAAAACGTTACTACCCGCCATTTTGACTTTTCGATCGAACGTATTGAAATTTGACAGTAAAGAAAAAACATTTACCCGCATTATTCGATTTTTAGTGAAGTTTTCGAGTTTGAATACTTGGATTTTAGCTTGCATATAATTTGTATTTAAAAAATTATAAATGGAGTGTTATTAACAGTTTTTTATGGGAAAAGCCGTCAAACAATCAGACGGGTCACCTGATGGTAAGCAATCGGCGTCACCCATGGACACTTGGAACAACAGAGGCGTTACAAGTGCGTTACCGGCCCTTTGGGAATTTGAGGATTGATGGAGATTCAGGGATTGGGGAAAGGGGGAGGGATTCGTCCTCCGGTAACCTCAATCAGACGACGAAAAACGAAAATGAAATACAATTGGCAATTATTATTATTATGAACTAATTCAAAGAATCTACATTTACGAACGAGCAAATAGCTTGACTGGATTCAGGTAGCTCGCAGGTTAGTAATACGCGTCCTGTGGCTGATATGGTGACGATTATGATGAAATAACTTCACTAGGGGTCTGACCAAAATATAAACACCCTTCAACATTTTGTTTAACTTTTAAAAGTGCCAAATTGAATCAGATTATTGGACTTAGAAGAAATCTTAAGGCTTTGATTGCCAATAGAAAACTGATGAAGGCAAATCCTCCGCTAACATCGGTCATCGCTGACCCCAATGCGTTTAATGTGTTAATAGTGCGACTTCTTAGTCGACTTTTAATAAATGAACCGAACAATCTTTAAGTTAAAGTAAGACTTCTTGATTAACAGAATTTTATTAAAATTCAAATTTTTATTGCATATCACCATTGTGTACAATACAATAGGTGTTGCCTAATGGGGTACAGTTCCAACATGAAACCCGGTTATAGCACGACAACATATAGAGCAGAATATAATCTAATTCAATTACTTATAATATTGTCACATAAAAAAAGTTAGTATTTTCATTCTGAATAATTAAATTTTTCCACCCGTTGAAAACCATCCCCTAAATTTGTTCATACAAAAGTAGTCTGTAAACATTGGAAATAAGGTCTATAATGTAGTTAGTGGAGAGCGGTAACCGGTGACCGCTATAACATGTATTTATATTTAATATGTTAATTGTATGTAGTTTATGTACTTACTATTACCTATAAATTTTAGTTAGGTATTTAGAATCTAGATTAATCAGAGATATAAAACTCATTTCATTCTCACACAACCTTGGCTTCAATTAATCATTTTGAAAGCAATATGTGTATGATTTTCCTGCATGTTCCCAGAAAGTGATTATAAACGGCTACCTTAATTAAACACAGTACTAGTAGGTACAGTTGGGGTATTCCCCATGTTCCTTAAAATAAATATTCCGACCACAGTTGGATCTTGAGTCTTAACTCGTCGAGTACCGGTTTTATAGACACAATTAAAGAACAATAGGTCGCGGTCACCGGTGACCGCTTGGTGTTTGACAGTTTAACTAATATTACAAATCAGAAACAGTGTTTGTTTGTCTTTTACGGCGCAAGTGAGCGTTTTTATCGGTACGACAAAGTATTATTGACCATATTTCCTTGTGGCATCGATCATTTCTTACTTTATTGAAACAAAGAGTTTCCTTTTTCTTGTATAGACGCACTATTTCTATGAATTGTCAGTATGAATATGTGAGCACCATGTTAGACTATATGTTTTTTTGTTTTGTTTTTTTTTTTATTAAGAATTGTAATTAGTATAATGCGTCAAGCGTGTCTTTGCATTGTTCTCACGTATACGTACAGTATTGGAATATGTATCAAAGACATTGTAGAACATACTTTTTTTTAAACTGTCAAACACCGCGAGGTCCCCTGTGACCGCAACCTATTGTTCTTTAATTGTGTCTATAATGACGGTACTCAAAGGGTTAAAGAGTAACGAATGGAGTTTCTTGCTCGGTCTTCTCCATTCGAATCTACATTTTGGAATGAGCATCTAGCTTCACAGACGGGCTGACTGACAGACTATTATTCTTTTGTTGTTGTTGTACCAGTACCAAATTATGGTTTAATTGAAATAAATGGTTTGACTTTGACTTTGAACGTCCCTTTTCGAAAACTATCAATCAGTTAATTTTTAGATGTAGAATAAAATTGACATTTGACAGTTTTTAGTATGGAAGAATTGTCAAAGGTAAGTTATTAAAAATAATCTGGCATTGGAAAAATCGGTCCAAAGATTAGAAAACGTAGCATCCTCCGACCAGGCGAGTTTTCTGCCCAACGTCTGTTTGTTTATAATTTTCTATCCATGTTTATATGCATGGAAACTTCATGGTTTTGTGTCCACATCCGTTGATTTGCTCGTCTATCCTCTAAGTGCGTAAGCGCGGGCCTGCGGACGACGCGCGTGCCAAAGCTCAAAGAGCCATCAGACCACCACGGATGGGGCCCAACAGGGCTGATGCCGATTCGGAGTCGCGGAGAACCTAACCGGTTACCGGGGATCCGGCTCGACGGACACGAGAAGGGACGGGGTGGTTTTTAGCCAGTAAGAGTCTGACACTCCCTCCCGCCTCAACCCAGGCGGGGGCAGTCACTCGATTATTTTCCCCTCTTAAAAAACTAAGTGCGTCTTCTGTCATTAGTCGTGTGCAAAGAGTATAATCATGTGTCACGAGTACAAAACTATACTTTATCATAACCAAGTACAGTTTTATTAAAAATTTATACAAACACATGAGTAATTGTTTATCAGTTAGCAACACGTTTGTATGAACACCTACTTGTTATGAAGATTTGAGTGTGAATCATAGAATCGTGGTGCAGCAAACATTTGTATGAAGTTGTCTGATAGGAAAAGCGGGCATGTAAGTCCGCGAACATAAATAATTGTTTGATTAAGTAATTTAACATAGAACACTTCTGGGATATATTTTGACTGCCTCGTTGGCCGAGTGGTCGTAAGTGGGACTGCGGGCAAGGGGTCTAAGGTTCGATTCCCGGGTCGGGCAAAGTATTACTGGGTTTTTCAAATATTCTCAGTAGTAGCACGGAGTCTGGAAATGTGCCTGGTATATGGCAATAGGCTCACCCCCTATCGCATGGGACTCATAACATAAATAGTGAAAAGTAGGTGTCATATTGTACACTGGTATAATGTGCACCTCTGCCTACCCCCTCGGGGATAAAAGGCGTGATGTTATGTAATGTTACTTCTGAGATAAAGATGAAGCCATTTTCCATTTGATCTACTGCAAACTAAACGTACGGTTCGATTACAGTTCTATCGCTGTCATGTCAACTGCATCCGGACTCTGCAATTTGAGGTTAGATTATTTCTTTTACTTCCTTAAAAAAAAACGTTGCCGATACTAGGATTCTCTCCTGTGTCGTGGATGCGTTTACAAACATACAAGTTCACATAGGTACACATGACGCACAAACTCGGAACAACAATATGTGGATCACAGAAATAGTTGTTCGTGCGGGAATCGAACTAGCGACACGTTGCGCTGCAGCCAGTTGCCCAGCCACCGCGCCCACCATGCAGTCTTTGCAGTTGAAATACGGTCCTAATACTTTTTTTTAAGTGGGGAAAATCATCGAATGACTGCTCCCGCCTGGGTGAGGCGGAAGGGAGTGTCAGACTCTTACTGACTAAAAACCACCCCGTTCCTTCTCCTGCACGTCGAGCCGGAGCCTCGGTTACCCGTTAACTTCTCCGCGACACGGTCCTAATACTTAGGGTATTATTTTAGACGTGTTCTATACTTCAACAACGGACTGTCACGGACCTTGATGATTACAGTTTTTAGCTAAAAGGATTTTAGATTCGGAATACCACAATAGAATAATAAAAACACATATTCTACGTCGCATTACAAAAACAGACGTTTCCTAAACTGTCAAACACCGCTAGGAAACCGGTGACCGCAACCTATTGTTCTTTAATTGTGTCTATAATGACGGTACTCAAAGGGTTAAGCGATTAACTTAAGAAAAAATTATTAAAAAACTCACCTTTTTTCGAAGACTTGACAGCCGCCAATCCGCCATCTTGATTATGCGCGGCCGCCGGCACGACCAACACTTGATTGCCTTCTAGAAGCTTCTCCTTCGCTTCATCTCCTTCGTTCTCTTCCACGACCGTTTTCACAGGGGTCGCCATTTCGATTTAATCGTAGTCAATTTAAAAAACTTTGGCCAGATCTCATAATATAAAGATTTGATACATTGGAATGTTATATATCCTAAGTTATGTATATCTTGCTACATAATACTATGTAGATGTCAGTCTTGTTTGATTGGCTGGTTTGAATCTGTAACAATTAAAACATGTAATTCGTTAATAGCTGAATAATACGACATATATTAAAGATTAACAGTGATAGGGTAGATGATGAGGTTTTATCGGAATGCCTGAAGTACTGCGAGAGGAACTTATGAATGGTACCATTTTTTAAATAAGTTTTACTCTTCTGGTTCGTTGTGTATGTTTTGTTCTAGTTTTATTATTTCATCGTTTATTTTATTAATGTATCCAGTTAGGTACTTTATTTGGTTTTTGTTTTCAACCGTTGTAACTGTAATAAATAAATAAAATAAATAAACGACTAATTATTATTTTAATGTCCGTCTGCTAGATTATTTACAAACATTAAACACGTATTTTTTATTTTTTTCCGGAAACGATTACTTACGAAGATTTATTCGAAATGTCGCGTGACGTCACTTCTATGTACATTTTATACATAGAAATGACGTTTTAGCCCCCACTCCTAAACTTTGATTCGTTATATCTAAGTATCATTTTATTATACAACAAAATAAAAAATACGTATCAAATATTTTTTCATTACCTAACAGACGGATTAATTACATTTTAATTCTCATACCCTGTCATCATCCCTATTCTCTAAATATAACGGCAAGCTAGCAAGTATAATCTTGAAGATACACTGACATTCTGAGATTACAGTGCGAGAACATATTAAAGCGAATATTCCATAAACACCATGAACAATTGGTAACTGATTATACACAGCTGAAGCTGTTACTACCGTACCGAGCTAGACCAGAAGGCCAAGCACGAATAACTATCGCATTCGTATCGTAACAGTATCGAGCGAGTTAAGCGTTCCGATTGGTTGGTTCACTTGAGCCAGCCATTCAGAGCGCCGATACTATTACGTTACGAATACGATAGTTATTCGTGCTTGGCACTCTGAGATCAAGTATGACTGTGTGACCGTATTGGGTAGTTTCCAGGGTAAGAAAATTAAAAATCTAATTAGTCCGTCAGTTACATAATGAAAAAGTATTAGACACGTATTTTTTTTATATTCTCGTATAAAGTTATTTTATGGAATAGAAGGCAAGCGAGCAGACGGATCACCTGATGGTAAGCGATCAGCGCCGCCAATGGACACCTACAACATCAAAGGAGTCACAGGTGCGTTGCCGGCCTTTTAAAAAGGAATACGCCTTTTAAAATAACTAAATGTCCCTTTAATTATTGTACACTAGACGACCCCCTTTTTCCAACTCCTGAATACTCCATCCAAAGGTTGTCTGGAAGAAATCGCATTCTGCGATAAGACCGCCCATTGTGCACATTCTTTTATGTTTATTTTCTATGTTTGTTTTTTTGGTGTACAATAAAGTGTCAATAAATAAATAAAAATAAATGGTTGATTAAATGACTGCACTGTTGGCGCGGTGGCTAGGCCACTGGCTGCCGCGCAATGTGTCGCGGATTCGATTCCCGTACGGAACATCCCTTTGTGTGATCCACAATTTTTTGTTCCGGGTCTAGGTGTTATGTGTATGTGAACTTGTATGTTTGTAAAAGCACCCACGACACAGGAGGAAATCCTAGTGTGGGGCAATTTTTAAAAAAAATAAAAAAAAAAACATTAAAAGAAAGAAATAAAGGTAACTCCACACTTGACCTTAACCCATAAATGCTTATCGCGGTAACTCATAAACCTTCGACTTCCGCGAAGAAACTAATTAGTGTAATCAGCCGACATTGCCAATTGTTTAGAAGGTCCCTCAAAGAGGAAATTGTAAATGTCGATTGCAGAATTAAATTACAATTTAACTCTTTGAGTACCGTCATTATAGACACAAGAAAGAACAATAGGTTGCGGTCACCGGTGTCCTCGCGGTGTTTGACAGTTTAATGTCATACAGTTTAAGACTTGCTTTATGTGTAGTATTTGAAAGTAACATAACATAACATCACGCCTTTATTCCCCGAAGGGGTAGGCGGAAGTGCACATTACGGCTTAATGCCACTGTACAATGTAACACCCACTTTTCACTATTTATGTTATGAGTCCCATGTAATAGGGGGTTAGCCTATTGCTACAAACCAGGTACAATTTCAGACGCCGTGCTACTATTGAGATTTTATTTAAAAAAACCCTTTAATACTTTGCCTTACCCAGGAATCGAACCCGAGACCCCTTACCGGCATTCGTACTTGCGACGACTCAGCCAACGAGGCAGTCAATTTGACTTTTTATAATAATTATCGTGAGACATACTGAATGAACTAAAAATGTTGAGTTACTCACGCAAATATACTGACAACTTTGATTATATATTATATAATATATAATCTTATATAATCGGTATAATATATAATCAATATATAATATATAATCAAAGTTGTTAGTATATTTGCGTGAGTCTCTCGAAAAATCTAGACATTATTAATGTCTAGATTTTTATTATTATTCAAACTAATTATTACTTCCACTAAAGTTAAATCAGCTAATCGGATCAACTCTAGATGCTCTAGACTACAACAAAGATATAATTATACCAAACGTCCTATATTCAAGTTACACCCACTCATCACTCATTACTGCTAGCCGACGATGGGGCGTCATATCACTTAACGACCTAAGCTATTTGATGCTACATAAACAGTTGAATGGTTAGGTCTTTAACGGATAATGAATAGCAACTGTGGCGCAGTGATCAAGGGTAATTAAACCTTTTATCTTACTTCTGTCGTGGTGGCTCGGAGTTTTAAGACGCCTGCTTTTAAGAAACTACCAACGGCAAATACCAATATGATTTTTTCCGATTTATATGAGCTTTCTAATATTATATTCTAGACACTACTGTAGTCGCGGAGAACCTAACGGGTAACCGGGGCTCCGGCTCGACGTGCAGGAGAAGGAACGGGGTGGTTTTTAGTCAGTAAGAGTCTGACACTCCCTTCCGCCTCACCCAGGCGGGAGCAGTCATTCGATGATTTTCCCCCCTTAAAAAAAAAAAGACACTACTGGCAAACGGTGAATGAAAACATCGTAAGGAAACCTGGGATTATAATTCTGACAAGAAAATGAAGAAATGTGCGTTGTGAACGGTCACCATCAACAAAATAACAGGAGTAAAATAGCACAATTTTCACATTTTTGAACTGATTTAACTCGGTTTGGACAATGTTTTTGATGTAAGACCCCATATATTTATTAGTTTGTAATGTTATTCTGCATCAGTTTTTCCACGTCCGATCAACTGCCGCAATAAATGAAAAGGCACCACGCTCCATACAAATTTGGTCATTCAAAGTCAAAGTCAAAGCATTTATATTAATATATGGCAATGTAATTAAATATAGTATTTTATAATAAGAAAAATATGGCAACCCTTTTTATGTCGCTCCTCTTCAATGGTTGTAGAACGCTTGTTAGAAGGTTTTTGTTTTGAGTTCCATTTTGATTATTAAAACACATTTTCAGTATATAAAACTGTGTTCTTTATTAAAATCTAACAGGTTATGGGCCCAGGCACATAATCCTGTATATTGCATAAAGAACATAGGAAGTTGAGTCTCAAGATAACTCACGTACCAAGTACCGGTAAAAGTGAGGTTAAGCCTGAAAAAGTGGAAATACTTGTTTCAATTGAGTGGAGCAAGGCAAGTCGGCGAAATGGAGCTAAACTTAAACTCAAATCACAGTTTAATAAAACTGGAAGGAGCCAGTAATTGGAACATCTGGAAATTTCAAACTACAGTATTGTTGCGTGGCCAAAACTGGTTGGATGTGGTTGAAGGAAAAAGTTTAAAACCCGAAGAAAGTTCTGCACGAGCCGCTTGGGAATTGAAAGATGCAAAGGCACAAACGATGTTGGTTACGAGAATGACTGAGAATGTCATGTTACATATTATTTCATGTTCAACGTCGGCTGAAATGTGGAAGAAATTGCAAAGTATTTATGAACAGAAAACGGAAACAAATATCCATATAATCCAACAACGTTTCTTCCAATTTAAGTATGAAACGGGCACAGAAATGTCTACATTCCTATCTAAAATTCAGGAGATGCAAAATCAGCTCAAACAGATGGGTGAAGAAGTATCGGACAAGTTTGTAATCACAAAAATATTAATGTCTTTGCCAGAGGAATATAAATTTTTCATTTCGGCTTGGGAGTCTGCGCCAGATGATAAACAAACTATAGATAACTTAATGGCAAGATTACTGATTGAAGAGGAAAGAGTGAAAGAAAAGGGTGAGAATTGTCAACCAACTCCGAGTTCATCTGCATTTGTTGTGAAAAACAAGAAGGAAATAAAGTGCTTCAATTGTAATAAAATGGGACATATCCGTAGTGAGTGTAAAAGTAAGAACTATAGTAATTCTGAAGGTCAAAGCAATAAGTGTTTTTATTGTGGAAAGTTTGGACATAGTAAGGCAAAGTGTTGGTTTAGGAAGAACAAGGAACATAAGAAAAGTAATGCTTTTGTGGTGTTAAATTCATCAGAACAACGAGAAAAATCTCTGTGGTTAGTGGACTCTGGAGCCAGTGAACACATGTGTAATGATCGTTCTTTGTTTTCATCATTTACAAAAACAACGAACGAGTCTGTAATTGTCGGTAATGGTGCAACGATTAGTGTTCTTGGCTACGGACAGATGGCGGTGGAAGTCTTCGACGGCAAAGAGTGGATTGAAACGTCCATAGACAAGGTTTTGTTTGTACCAGAGCTAAAGACGAATCTATTCTCTGTGAACAAAGCGTCAGACAGAGGATACGTCATAATGACAGATGACACTTCATGTCAATTCTTTAAAAACAACAATGTTTGCGCGGTTGCAAAACGTGTTGGAAGTTCGTATTTTTTGGAGTTTCGGTACAAAAACA